ATCCTCGTGTACGTCGACGACTTGGTCTTTGCTATTGCTGACACTGCTGGACTCGCCCACGTGAAGTCCGAGCTGCAGAAGAGACACACGTGCACAGACCTGGGTGAATTTCGCAGCTACCTTGGCTTGCAGATCATCCGGGACAGAGCACGGCGCACCATTACCCTGACTCAGTCACACTTGGTGCAACAGGTCCTTCAGCGCTTTGACTTCACGTACTCCTCGCCTCAGGCCACTCCTATGTCTACTCGCCACTCGCTCTCAGCTCCACCTTCGGATGAGTCCGTAGAGCCGAGTGGCCCGTACCCAGAGCTTGTTGGCTGCCTCATGTACCTGATGACCTGCACTCGACCTGACCTTGCATACCCTCTTAGCATCTTGGCACGCTATGTTGCTCCTGGGAGACACCGACCAGAGCACATGGCTGTAGGGAAGAGGGTGTTGCGCTACTTGTGCAGTACGTCGGGCATGGGGCTCGTGCTTGGAGGGCGGAGTCCAATGGTCCTCAGTGGTCACGCAGACGCTTCTTGGGCTGACGACCAGGCTACGCAGCGGTCGTCACAGGGTTACACCTTCAGCCTTGGTTCCGGCTCTGTTTCGTGGCGGTCTACCCTCTCGTCTTCTGTTCTCGGCTCCAGCTGTGAGGCTGAGATCTACGCAGGGGCCATGGCTGCACAGGAGTTACGCTGGCTCACCTACCTGCTGACTGACCTAGGAGAGCCGCCTCGTTCTCCTCCAGTTCTGTACGTAGACAACAAGGCCATGCTGGCCTTGTGTCGGGAGCATAGACTGGAGCACATAACGAAGCACATTGTTCTTCGCTACTTCCTTGCTCGTGAGCTGCAGCAGCGTGGTCAGCTGCGACTTGCTTACGTGGCCTCTCGGGCCAACACTGCTGGTATCTTTATCAAGGCACTTCCGCCTTGTGATCATCAGCGCTTTTGTACGATGCTAGGTCTTGTGCCTACTTGGCCTCACTTGCTCACTTCTTGACCTTGCTTGTACTTTGATCTATCTATACCTGCACTTGCTTCATTACCTTTATATATAATCCTGCATGTGCACTGGCCTTGTGGCCTTGAACTGGTGCTCGGAATGTGTGGTGACGTTGTGATCCACCCTGAGCTTGCTTTGCTTGACTGGTCTTGTGACCCCTAGTTCTCCCCCACTTTGCCTATGTGGCTGTGTCAGATATATATGACATAGTGTTTGTAGGCTCTAGTGGGGTAGACATTAAAGGGTACAGGTTTCTAGGGTTTGATATTTGTATCACACATTTTCCTAGTTCAACCATTCCTCGTTATTTCACATGCTCGTGGTGTTCAAGCAGCTTCATATTGTCCATCATCGCAAAAGGTTACTAGCTCCCATGGAAGGCCTCCCCTCCCAGTCCGTTCATATCACCCAACCACGCCGGTGCATACACCCATGCGAAGTTCACACGCGATGCGATAACGGACTTGTTGGCATCAGTGGCGGCAGTGGAAGCACGAACGGTCGACGAGCTCACCTGCATCAGCCCACTGAACGTGGTGGAACAACGCGAGAAGTGTCGGCTCATATTGGATTTGGGGCAAGTCAACCGACATCTAGTAGTCCCAAAATTCAAGTACGAAGGTCTTCATCGTGTGGCGGAACTGACACAAAGAGGAGACTGGATGTTCTCGGTGGACCTAAAATCAGGGTACCACCACGTGGATATCCATCCAACGTGCTGGAAGTTTCTCGGCTTCCAATTCGACGGTCGTTCCTACCACTTCCGGTCCTTGCCATTCGGCCTCGCGACTGCCCCCTTTGTCTTCACACAGTTGATCATGCAACTAGTCGCGCGATGGCGCTCCCAAGGCGTTCGGGTCATCCCGTACGTCGATGACATCCTCTTCCTTTGCGAAGGGCGGGACACCACGTACCACACTTGTGCGACGATTGTCGACGACTTGCGACAAGCAGGGCTGGTCATCAACTAGAAAAAATCGCATCTCATTCCAACCCAACGCCTCCGATTTTTGGGCTTGGAACTGGACACTTTGACTTGCACTTTCTCGGTGGGAGACGAGCGACGTGCGCTGCTCAACGCGACATTGGTCGCCCTCGAAGCAGCGGGACAAGCTCGTCGATCGGTCCCAGTTCGCCAGGTGGCCCACGTTACCGGAATGCTCGCATCCATGTCTCTCGCCCTCGGCGCCACTGCGCGGGCATTTAGTCAATGCCTCCTCAACACAATCAACGACGCCACATTATGGCATGCGAAGGTGGTTCTCTTACAAGATGCCATGCACGAGTTGCAGTTTTGGCGTTCCGAGTTCGATTACTTCAATGGTGCACCATTCCACATTCGGCACAGCTTTGGCGCGGTGCTGCACGTGGATGCGAGCGCCCATGGTTGGGGTGCCACATTGACGAGTTTCCCGGGGCCTATGCTCGAAGCATCGGCAAACATGCCGGATCCGCTGCGCTCAACGTCCAGCACCCGTCGCGAACTTGGAGTTATATGGGCTCTCCGGCCATTCGAGGCTCACCTACAAGGCCAGCACCTACTCGTCCGCGTGGATAACCAAGGAGTGTTCTTCATCTTACGCAAAGGCGGATCTCGTTGTCCGGAGCTCACGCGCATCTGCAGGACATTAATCCATCTTCGCGTGCAACACGAAACTCGCCTCGCCATTGAATGGATACCCTGATCGCTTAACGAGCACGCCGATGCGCTCTCCAAGCTACGAGACCACGACGACTACACCCTAAAGCAACCATGGTTCCGCCTACTAGACCGATGTTTGGGTCCTCACACGATCGATCTTTATCCAGCGCCGCTAATTCACAACTCCCTCGTTTTTGCACGAAGGTGCCTCACCCCGCGGCGCACGCCGTCAATGCCTTCGCAATCTCGTGGACCGGCGAATCCGCGTTTGCATTCCCACCGCCTCAATTGATCCCGGCAGTGTTGCATCACGCACGACAGACAAAGGCAAGGATCACATTAATTGTCCCGGAATGGCCAGGCGCTTTTTGGTGGCCCCAGGTCCACCCCACGCCAAACGGATGGGCTCCCGAAGTCCTCACCCACATCCAACTGCCCCGCGGGAGCCAGTGCCTTGGCATTGGCACCCACACATCAGCATTTTCTGGCTCCGGCCTCCCCAACAGCACCATGCATGCACTCCTACTTTCCTTCGACTAAGTCTTGAGCACACGTTTCTCATGGCACAGGCACTATGGCAAGGCTTTAGTGCCAGCTCCTGTCAATTGTGTCCCAAGTAAGGGCGGATTCAACGATCCGCACATACGACCCCTATTGGCTCAAGTTTCGCTCATTCTGCGACCGGTTCAAGTTTGCATTCTTACCAACAACCAACACAACGCTGGCACTGTACCTGGTGCATGCAATCGAGCAGAAAGCCACACTGTCAGTGGTAAAGCTCACCTGCTCAGCGGTCACCTTCGCCCATCGCATGATTGGAGCTTCTTGTCCTGTCTCGAGCCCATTCACCAGTCAAGTCCGAGACTACGTCAAACGGCACTACCCGCGCCCATCCCGTGTCAAAGAACCAGTGTCTCTCCAACAAGTTCACAGCATGGCCCAGTCGTACCTGTCGACCAAGGTTCCCTCAGAATTTCAAAAAGGACTCATCCCCCTGCTCATGTATTCCGCGTTCCTTCGATACTCGGATCTAGTGGCCATTTGCTGGGAAGACATCCAATTCGAAGAAGACGTCATGTGGATCCTCATTCCCCATTCCAAAACGGACCAGGAGGGTCGAGGTGTATGGATCCCTGTGGCAGCTCATCGCGGCCCGTTTTGCCCCGTACGATGCACCCAGCGCTTCCTGCAGCTAGCACAATACGGGCCTCTTACGCATGGACCGTTGATCCGCGTATTCGGCCGGCGCACGGCTGCGTCACCAGCGGACACTTCCCCTTCCTACACGACCATTCGCAATTGGTGCAAGGAGGCGTTCTCCAAGATCGGCCTCAACGACACCCATTTGGGCACCCATTCGTTTCGCAAAGGTGCGGCGACGATGGCAGCCAATGCCGGAATACCTAACCGTGTTTTCCAACGACTTGGTCGGTGGCGAAGCAGCACATCTAGGGACCTCTACGTGACAATCGCCACCCGAGAGTTGGTCAACGCATCTCACCAACTCCACCAGCCCGACGCGGCACCGTCACCCCCGCAGCACGACGACGCGATCCACCGACAACGACTAACTCCACGCCACATGTTTCAGAAGACTCACAAGCAATGAAGACGATGCTTATTGCTAGTCAAGAAGTAAGCTTTCTCAATATGTATATTTTCGAAAGTGTTGCACTTTCTAAAATTACTTATTGTGAAAGCGAAGCTGTTTGTACGCAGCACAAGAAAGCATCGTCGAAGCGCTACTCGCCCTTCTCCGACTACAAAAGAAGGGGTTTCGGCCATTTGGCCTCACCCACGTTTTCATTTCAAACTTTCAAGTTCAGTTTCCCACCCACCCCCCTCGTCTAGATAACCGTTTGTAATGCAATAATATATGACGGGCAATGCCGTACTTGAACCACAAGCAATGAAGACGATGCTTATGCCACAAGCAATGAAGACGATGCTTATTGCTAGTCAAGAAGCAAGTTTTCTCAATACGTGCTATTCAATGTGTGCAGATTTCGAAAAATTGTGTCATTTTGCCGAAACGAACGCGGGGGACCCGCCTTTACACAACTCATGACACCACAACCACGGTCTATTTTCCACACCATACTCGGTTCGGCAGTATCCGGTAACGCCTACAAGTGTCACTTTGCGAAACCCAGATTCCACGGTTTCAGCTCATCGGTGCCGCTGCCGCACACAATTCTCTCCCATTCACCCCATCGACCATCCTTTCCCCCCCAACGCTCCCTACTAGGCATCCCATCACCCCCTCAAACTTGTCAATCTAACCATCATACCATAAAGCCCATTCGCCTCCGCCTCATACCTCATCTCCCCATACCTGCTTCGTCTTCCCCCGCAGGCCGCCATGGGCATGGCCCTCTGCCGCAGGGCCGTGCTCGCCGCCTCTTTCCGCCGCCCTTCCGCCATCCCCACTGTCGCCCCGCGTCTCTCTTCCCCCGCGCGCCTGGCTCCGACAGCGCGTGTCGGCATCGTGCTTCCCTTCCCCCGCCGCGTCCCCTCGTCGTCATACCGCGCGGCACTAGTATGTAGTCCCACCGCCCCCCCGTCGCGCCATCTTCAAATTCCTAGCACCGCGCGGAGCTTCCGTGCCTCACTGTGCGCACCTAGGGCGCTCGCGGGAACTGGCGAAAGCGATAGACAGCTGTTGGCCTCCGCCCGCAGCGGAGACAGGGGAGCAAGGCTTGGCGCATTAAGGGGTGTGGCCATCGGCGCGGGGAATGGCACAGGGGGCGGCTCAGGGGACGCGCAGCTGCGGTCGGCGGAGGAGGAGGAGGTCGCGGAGGTCGTGCGAGCTAACGTGTCTGGTGGGGCGGAGGGGGAGAAGGAGGGGCGGGGCAAGGCGAGGGCGGGGAAGAAGAGCATATCGAGCTATGGCGCGGAACACATTCAGGTGAGACAGGTGTAGGAGGGAGTGGTGTTGGGTGGAGTAGAGGGAGTTGAGAGATAGATGACGACAACGAAGGGTACGAGATGACAGTCCCCAACCACCATGCCCTCTCCCGCCTTTGTTCTCGAGGCAGCGCTTGCCCTTCACCCTGGCAGTGCAACGCATCTCACAACGTGTTGTCACTGTGACTCACATCACGTCCCCACCCAGCACCGGGCCCGGAGGCCTGCACCACCTGGTGAGAGACCGCCTTGCACCGCTCTGCACTACCTGGTGAACTCATTGCCTTGCACCTCTCTGCACTACCTGGTGAGCCCATTGCCTTGCACCACTCTGCACTACCTCGTGAGCCCACTGCCTTACACCGCTCTGCACCACCTGGTGAGCCCATTGCCTTGCACCGCTCTGCACTACCTGGTGAGCCCATTGCCTTGCACCGCTCTGCACCACCTGGTGAGCCCACTGTCTTACACCGCTCCGCACCACTTGGTGAGAGCCAACCGCTTTGCACCACTCTAAACCCGAAACCCAAACTCTGAACCAACCGTAAATCCTGAGGGGGGCGGGCCATGAGGTGCTTGGACATGGGTTGACCTCCCACCTTCCCGCCTGTCCCCCCCACACATGCATGCATGCTGGCAGGTGTACGAGGTGGTGGACAACGCCATCGACGAGGCGCGGGCGGGCCATGCGAGCACCGTGCACATGCTGCTGGGGGCCGACGGCTCCGTGTGCGTCACTGACAACGGCCGCGGGGTGAGCGCGCATGCGCTCAGGGCAGGGCTTATGGTTCAGGGCTGGCTGGCGGATGGAATTCAGGGCGGGCTGGGGCAGGGTAATGGTTACAGTCACCAGGCCACTCCGTGCGTGTGCGCTGCCCGTGTTGCTGGAATGAGTATGTGTGAGAGTAGGGTTTAGGGTTCAGGGTATAAGGGTTAGGGAAGTTCAATGGTAGTGTCTGGATCAGTATGTGTGCGCATTGCAGGCGATGGTAGCAGGGTTGATCAAAGGGTCCTTTGTATTGTGCCATGCCCCAAGGCCGAGTACCAAGATCACTCTCATAGGCTAGGCCACCTCCAGTCCTCCAACTAACCTTGGTGTGTGTGTCTTCCTTCCTGGTTATTCACTCTTCATGCTCATTTGTTGGTGGCCTGGTTTGTTTGCCTCTGTGTACGTGTGTGTCGATTGGCATGCACATCCCTACAGACATCCATCCAGGCCCCTAGATTCGTTTTGAGGTAGTCTGACGCCTCAGAGTACACCCCTCTTCCTAGTCTGGCTGTCAGAGTTACCTATTTTTTTTAGTCTGAAAATTCAGACAAGCACAACTTCTTTTGTCTGAACTGTCAGAGTTACTTCAAATTTTAAGATGTTCATGCAGTTTCATAACAGCATAGCTATAATAGCATTGAAGCTGATTACAGCATACCAACGCAATTGTGCGGCCAGAAATGGGGCACTCTGATTGGTCATTTGTCAAGAGTTAGGATCACTGAGCAGTCAGGGTCGAGTCGAGGTGTGGGCATCAGACAATGGCCTCGTGCAAGTGCCAAGTGTGGCAAGCTCCCAATCAGCTGACCTGGCAGCAGGCACGGTATCGCTCGGAACTTTTCTGTGCTGGGCGCGCTGGCTGCAGCAAGAGTTTTCAACTGTGTACACCCTATGTGCGCGGAATATTCTCTCCTAAAGTTGCAGATTCAAAATTTTGACTCGGTTTGGGAAGGGGAAATGATGTGCGGTTCTGCTGAAGTACGAGACTCATATGTGACACGGCTTTCGGTTGCACCAATTCGCTTTTCGCCATGTGCGATTCGCTAAAATCGTTTTGGCCATGTGCGATTGGCTATCTAGTTTCACAATTTAAGGGTTATTATAAGCCCCCAATGAATTCGACACTCGAGATAGCGTCGACAAAGTAGTGTATCCTTGTACCCCTACTCGAGCAGTTTTATCCGGAGGAAATCGTTAGTGCTGGCCCGTACACACGTGGGTGTATCGAAAAAAAGTTTCGAGGAAGTTTCGTTCCGATAACCTTTCATTCAGTCGGCGGAAACCCCTGTATAACCGGTTTCAGAGTGGACCCCCGATACAAGTTTGAGGCTCAGCCTATACTACTATGACTACTCTGAAATTTCAGACAAGCCAGTTAAAAAAACTCTGAAAAATCAGACAGGGTGCATAAAAAAAATCTTTGAGTTCAGACTAGGTACAAAAAAAAAGTCTGAACGGACTCTGAATCAGACTCCAAAGTCTGATATCTAGGGCCCTGCATCCATCCATCAACGGGCAAGTCCGCTCTGGAGAATGTGCTCACAGTGAGTCACCCACTCGCCACCCCTCACCTCATCTGCCTTCCATCTTCCAACTCTGCATGTTCCACGTCTAGCCTCCCGTACGGGGTGTTGCACCCGCTCCCTTTACCCACCCCATCCATCATCCCTATGTGATCCGCTTCCTCTCCTCTTTGTCATACTTCCTCAACTTCGCAGTTAAGCCCCTCGTCAACCTGTCAAAGTCACCACTGCCATCTTCGCGGTGCTTCTGAACCACTTCCGCAAATACTTTCGCCACTCCTGGCCGTTTCAACAGCCATGCCGGGAAGTGCCACAGCCCCGGACCTGATTCACGCGGGCCCCCCCACCCGAGCCTCAACCTCACCGCGAACTTATGGTCTGTAATCCCCACCGGCACCTTCTTGTGTTTCACCTCCGTCACCAGGTGCAGCATGGACTGGGACACTAGCACCCTATCAATCCTCGAGCTGACCTTCGCCGACTTGCAGTAGAAAGTAAACTGTCTCTCGTCCGGATACAGCTCCCGAAACACATCCTTCGCGTGGAAGCCCCCTAGCAACTGCATCATACGGCCATTATCACCCGTTACCCCTTGCCTGTTTGACTTGTCCAGTATGGGGTCTTCAATCATATTGAAATCTTCTGCCACCATAAGATCCTCCCCCCTTGGCAGGTTGTCCGTAACATCCTTGAAGGCAGTGCCCAGGAAACTCCCCCTTGGTTGCGGTTGCGCAGGGAAATACACCGCCAGTACCCGCAGCACCCTCGTCCCCCACCTCAGCCGGGCATGTAGCAGTCTTCCCGACAGGTGACGTTGAACATCCTCTATCTGTACCCCATCCTTGAAACTCAGGACGGCCAAACCGCCAGCTCTGGTAGGTGCTGCCACCGCGACCATGCTGCTGGGCCGCAGTTCAGTCCAGAAATTGTGGTCTTCCGCAGTTCTTGTGTCCGCCATTATTACTATGTCTGCTGATGTTCTGATCCATCGTTTGACTGCTTGCCGTTTCCCTAGACTTCCCAGGCCGTTGACGTTCAGGGACAGAAACGTTAACCGGTTGGTGCTATCCATTAATCAACCTTTGACGCTGCCCCCACGCATCCACAGGGCGGTGAAACAACAGCTCTCAGGGGCTCATTACTCCCGACGATACAGCACATGTTACATCTCCACCTACTTCTAACTCCTCTTTGTGCCATCTCCCCTACACAGCAGGCAAACATCGCCACTTCCATGGAACCAGGCCACCTCTTCACACACCGAACTCCTTCTTCGCCGCGGTCAGGTTGACCCTTGCTTTGGAACTGCGTGTTGCCAGTCCTGACACCAGACCATCGCTGTGCCGCTGGGAGACTACATGTTCCGCAGCTTGTGCGAAGGTCACCCCATTCGCCTTCTCGCAGTTCTCCTGGACGTAGATCCACTCCTCGCGATTCCCCCCGGTCAAAATCAACACCACGGCGGGGTCCTTCAGAATGAGCCTGGTCAGATCTGTGAGTCTGACTGAGGCGGCTGCGCGTAGTCGACACACCCACAACGTTAGCACCACGACCCCGTGGAGACGACGAGCAACAGAAGAGCAGATAAGTCAAAAACTCCCCCCCCCATTACCATTAATTCCATGAACCCGTCCCAGCGATAGGCTCCAGTTGCTGATGTTGTTCTGTCTGTCCATCACGTACTCATCATGATACCTTGTCAAATGATATCCCGAGCAGTAAACACAGTTCAGCGACGGGTAATGCACCAGCAGTTGCTTATCATGGGAGATCGGGTCTTCAATCATATGGCGCCAACGGTACTTATCCCCCGCGTGCTGTTTGATCAACCCTTTGACCTTGTCGGTGTCCATCCCTGTAACAGGGTTCACCACACGATGGAAGCAGCTCCCTTCCTTGAAAGCCGACCGGCCGCGCTTTTCCAGCTTCACCGTCACCAGCATGTCGCAGAGCATCTCCGGCGTGATCACCGCGTCCACCCCCTTAAACAACACCTCAACCAGCAGCGGATCAGCCGCACGAGCCTTCACATAAGCCGGATCCGCCGGGTGCTGCCAATCCAAATTGACCCGCTTCCCGTCAGCGCAGGTGTGCACAATCCCATGCTTCCACATGAAATTGGCATCGCGAGCCCGATCGAAAGTAACCTGCAACCTCCAGTACTGCTTCTTATTCAGGAACACCGCCGTCAACTCCTGAAATTTCGTCGTTGCCAGAACCTCCATGTTCAGGTCTTTCTTCCACACGGTGAAGAGCGCGCGAAGAGTCGCCTGCACGCGCGTTGTCTCCGGCTTGAGGGCGATCGGGATCAACAGGACGATAGCGAAACGAACCCGCTGCGCAACTTCGCTCTTCGCCTGCGCGTCGTAGCGTTCTTCTGGGTCATCACTAATGTAATCATCCTCCTCATCATCAACACCCTTCGGAGGGACATTTGACGTCGCATCCTTCTCTGCTTGCAGTTTAGCGCCGGTACTTCCGCTGGGACCAACAGGTTTGACACCATTGTCCGTTGACGACAGCTTTCCTCCACTGCTTGCGTTGACCAAATCGCAGGCTGCCTCTCTGACCTCATGTGCCGACCCAACAGGTTGAAGGGCTTCCTTGTCTGCCTCCGTGAACAAGTCAGTTGTCCGCTTAACAGCCGAGGAAGCAGAAGCATCCACAACCACCGGGACCTCCTTGGGCTTATCCAGGGTAGCTCCAGTAGCAATGTCAGTGTGACGGACACCCCCGTTCCTGGTCGTCATCCTGGACATAGTGCGATGATGACACGGCAGAAACCAGAAGCCTCCCTGAGGTAACAGCCAAAGTCTGAGCACATCACTTGCACCATTGTTAGGAGTATTTGTAGCCTTAAACTTGAAACACCTAGAGCACGGAAGCCTTGAGAATAGCTTGCTCCCGTAATCCGGTTGCTCAAAGTTAGCCAATGAGTTGAAGATTAGAAATCCACGCTGGTATCCTTGTTGTCGATCGCTTGAACAGGTGGAGCACCTAGACATTAACGCGCTGAACATCCATGGAGATTCCCGTGAGGCCTTGAAGTTAGCAACTGACAATGAAACTGAACCCCATATTGCTCCAGGTACAATGTCCGTCAGTTGGACACGAGAAGTGTACCAGCAGCTTCGTAATAACGAGGCGGTTCCGAATCTGTTATCAATGTTACCAACTGACACATGGCCTTCACGAAATAGCAGTTTAAAGCCCGCGTCCCAAATTGCGGGCCGCGAGGGTCAAGTTTTTAAAACTTGACGAAGTTGAGTGTCCAAGCTTTTGAAAGTCACGCACTTGCAATTTGGGACTTTCGAAGACAGATTCACTCACCAGGGGGAAAACCGAGGGTTGGCTGGGTCTCGCGAAAAAACCGAACCTAGACGAAATCGGAAACTCTCGCCAAAGCCCACACCAGAAAAACTCCCTCTGGTCAACTTTTAAAAGCATGAACAATTTGGGCCGCCGGCTTTAAAGCCATCAGGCGGAATCCATGGCGGAGCTGTCATTGTTTTAGGTATGAAAAGTTATGGAATCTCAGTACCATTTTTAACCCGATTGTAACATACCTGACCGCGCTAAACGAACCAGGTGCGTAAAACCGTGACCCGCCCTCTTTCGAATGTGAAGAACTACAGTGTTTGTTGGTTCATCGCAACGCAACCATAGCAAAATGGAGGACCTGTCACGAGAAACCCACAACCCTGTAGGTTGAGTGTTGATGGCTCGCCAGTCTTCGCCACTCGACCACGCACGAAAGCAGGCGCAAAAAACAACCATCTGTAACCAGGCGTGCGTGACACGCAATCCATTTTCGCCGAGCCGTGTGTATTAGGGCGACGTCAGGTTGTACAACTTTTTGTACGCCCTCTCCGGTAAATCTCGTTTCAACACGGTGAAGAGCGGAATAGTTGAGAACCGCTTTTCACCGTGTTGAAACGCTCTTCACCACGATACAGGAACTGTAAGCACGTGTGAAATGTATAACCTGACGTCGCCCTTGCATATTCCTCGCATTGTGTAGCTGATTCCGACTCATTTTCACCATGAATTGATACCGCCTAGGAGTCGACTTTTTTGCCTGTAACAGCCCGTGCCGAACCCTTTCGCCTGTAAGCCACGTTCTCGTTGCTTGCCTGAATGCTTGCAACTGTTAGAGAATTATTGGCGGAAGAGTTTCTTCTCTCTGCGATGCCTACGCTGGGTGCTTGTGCGTGACTATGGCTACGACTGGGGTTCTCCGTGAGAACACTGACGTACAGAGCGCCTTTTCAGCAGCAGCATCAGCAGCAGAAGTTCCTCAGCAGCAGGTGTATTATCCCGCAGGGGAAACCACTTTTGAAACAGCAATCACGGTTCAAACAGATACCACACACTCTCGAGTAATCCGATCAGTCTCGTTTCCAAGCGTTCGCACATTCAGTTTGGAGCAATGGCCGTCTGCTTTCACCAATGTAGACCCAAACTGTCAGCAGCAGCAGCATCATCAGCAGAAAACATCAAATTCTCCAGAGAAAGCGAAAACGCTGCCCGTTCCCCCAGCCCCCCCTCAGTCATTTTCTGGAAACAGCTGCGCTCGTACTCAATCAGCGACTCCACAAGCCAAATCAGTAACTCTTTCTGCCGACGCTCTCGAGGACGTATTTCGACTGCTGCAGCGACCCGAACACGCGCACCTAGCCAGCTCGGTCTGCAAGGAATGGCGTGATGTTTTCGAGAGTCGAACCCGCGACTTCTCAGTTGTTTACGACTTGCGGTCCGCGCGTTGGGAGCCTTGTTTCCGTGACGTCAGCAACTGCAGCTTCGTTTCACGGTGGCATCCGGGAATAGAGAAGCTATGGATTCTCGACGACCCGCCACTGTGCATGCCCCAGCACTTACGCTTTATAAGCAAGAACCCCTGGTTCACCCCGGCGCTAGTATCGGAACTTATCTTCTCGCAGAATTTTCTACAGCTCGACTCCGCCATTGTTTCTCCCGACGGAAAGCAGATTCGCGCTTTGATTAGACGGTTCCCGAACCTGACGTCCGTCAATATCCCGATCTTCATAGACACGATTTCAGGCCGGCAGGATCCGATCCAAACCGAGGGACTGCGTGAAGCGCTATCCGCGGTCGCCACGTGTCGCTCGCTCCGCTCTTGCCGCATCCAGATCCGATTTCCCCGAAACTTCTCGTTCCAATCCCAGTCGAACCTCAGCGCGTTTAACGCTATCCTGACCGAAGGCCTCACCACTATTCTTGATTCCTGTCCGCGCCTCGAGTCGTTCCACGTGCAAACGGACATGCTTCAATACGCCTTGCCTGACGATTTGCCTGATTTGGTAACCGCGATTTCTTCCTCCGCGGGTTCGGCAGAAGAAGCAGGCTCGGGGGGTTCGGGAGGCTCGGCGGAGTTACCAGGCTCGAAGCATGAGCGGCAGCGGCTATCCCATCTCTCCCTTCCTCTGCATCGTCCCCTCTCCGCCTCATTCTCACCCACCTCGCTCACTTCTACCTTTCCTTACCTCCGTTCGCTTCATCTTCACGTGACCTGTGAGAACGAGTCGTTTTTCGCCACCCCCGCTCCGTTTTCGCGACTGCGCGCGTTACAAGAGCTTCGCATATCGTGTTACCACGACGAGCTCAGGCCGAGTTCCGAGGTCCAGGCGCCAAGCCTCTCTCCAGACCTCTTGCTTGGCTTGGAACATTCGCTTCGGAAGCTGACACTCAACCTTCAGATTGGCTCACGCAATCTCGATGGCAGCTTGTCATTTGTACCCGATATCAGACAACCCGGTAACGTTATTAGATTGCTCCCGGACTCGATATGGGGGCTGGAGCGGCTGGAGGAACTGGAGACGGATCTGTGGAGCAGCAGAGCAGCAGCGAGAGGGCAGGAGAGGCAAGCTAGAGGCGTGCAGCTGGAGAGGCGAACCGCGTTGAGAGTGATGGGCTTTAACGAGGCTGCTGCTGCTGTTGCTGGGGCTGTTACAACCGCAGCTGCTGACGTGGCGAACGTGGGCAACGAGGGCGGTAGGACTTTGGATGAGCCGCGATTCGCAGGATTGAAGCATTTGACTTCGTTGACCCTCACTTCGGACCAATGGTTGACCCCTCCGCCATCCCTCAAGCACCTGCCGAGCCTGACGCGGCTCCACATGCCCCTGGCTGCTCCGAGCCTGAGATCCAGGCCCGGGATGGGACTTTGGCAGCTGACATCCCTGAAAGACCTGTGCATTTCTGAAGGAGAAATGGGAGGGTTTGGGGAACGGCAGCAGCAGCAGCAGCAGGAGCAGGGTCAGCAGCAGCATCAACAACAGCAGGAGCAGAGTCAACACGAACAACAAGGTCAGGGACTAGCCCAGAATCCTCGCCCATTTCTCCCTCCTACTCTACAGTCTTTGACTCTGCATGGAAGTTCTAATAACGAGCAGAGGCTGTCCCCCTGGGCCTCCTCTACAATCACACAGCTTAAGCTCGTGAACGTCCGCTGCCCACCAGTCCCCGACTCAGACTGCCTCTTTCCAAACCTCCGGGTCTTCCAAGCCATACACTCCACTGCTCAGGTTGGGGCTCTGCCGAACCTGAGGCACATGCTACGGAGGGCCGGGACTTTTTCCGAGTCTCAGTTGACCGCGCATCCGAACCTGACGTTCCTGCAGGTGGATCTGCCAAGCAGCAAATACTCGATCCCACCAATGCCAAGGCTTGAGATTCTTATTCTCGGCCCGCTTCTTGCATCCTGCAGGAGCTTAGGCTGCCTCTCTTCCTTCACTTCACTGCGCTTTCTACGGCTGTCCAACGTGGGAGTCAAGAGGGGATGGACCGGAAATATCACCTGCCCGCCCAAGCTGAGGATCTTGGAGGTTCACGATTCAAGGTTCCTATGCCTGCCCAAGAGCTTTGCTTGCTTTGATCGCATCAGGAAGCTGCGGCTGATTCACTGTGAGCAGATGAGGTCGCTCCCAGAGTACCTGGCAGGCTTTAGCCGCCTCACAGAGCTTACCATTAGGGGATATAAGGGTAAGCTCCAGATCCCAAAAAGTCTAGATCATGTTTTAACTCGAATCAAATTTAAGGTGGAAGGGTGTGAAGGGAACACTGTTATGTGATGAGTGAATCAATTAGTTGATTGATTGGTTTGGGTCGGTGGTGGAAAGAGCATTTTTTCACGTATCTACTGGCACTCTTAGGCCCTGTCTGTATTATCGAGTGTGGTTTTTTTCTGATTTGCTGGTGTGCTGCTACCCCTCTGATGGCTCACTGTAGTTATGTAAGATGTTCATTTCACTCTGTACATAGTATACCGGTGCACGTCTTGACGTCTTGTCTGTGAATCCTCTGTACAAGGTGTCAAGACGTGCCAAATCCAGTGTGGCTGCGAGAGCCGGCCATTCTTCCAACGCAATGTGCCGTTGACTTTTGAGTCGACTCAAAAGTCATTCCAGCGTGGCTGCGAGAGCCGGCCATTCTTCCAACGCAATGTGCCGTTGACTTTTGAGTCGACTCAAAAGTCATTCCAGCGTGGCTGCGAGAGCCGGCCATTCTTCCAACGCAATGTGCCGTTGACTTTTGAGTCGACTCAAAAGTCATTCCAGCGTGGCTGCGAGAGCCGGCCATTCTTCCAACGCAATGTGCCGTTGACTTTTGAGTCGACTCAAAAGTCATTCCAGCGTGGCTGCGAGAGCCGGCCATTCTTCCAACGCAATGTGCCGTTGACTTTTGAGTCGACTCAAAAGTCATTCCAGCGTGGCTGCGAGAGCCGGCCATTCTTCCAACGCCATGTGCCGTTGACTTTTGAGTCGACTCAAAAGTCATTCCAGCGTGGCTGCGAGAGCCGGCCATTCTTCCAACGCCATGTGCTCTTGCTCGGCTGGCTGGAAGGGTGAACCCCACTTCTGGTTTTATAAATGTTCAAAGTGAGGCACTTCCTAGAAGGTTCCCCATCTCCTCTCCCCCTCTCTTCTCCCCATCTCCTCTCACCCTGCCTCCTCTCCCCATCTCCTCTCCCCTGCTCCTCTCCCTTCTTCTCCCCCTCTTCTCCCCCCTCTCCTCCTCCACCCCTCTCCCTCTCCTTGCCCACTCTCCTCTCTCCATCCTCTCTCCTTCTCTCCACTTCTCGTCTTCTCTCCCTTGTCCTCTCCCTCTCTCGTCTTCCCCTCTCGTCTCTCAAACAATCCTTTTCTTTCGTATGACCCATGCCGCATGCCTCAATTCCCCATGCCACAACCCACGCCCCATGACCCATGCCATGCCTATGCCCCATGCCCGCGCCCCATGCCCCATGCCCCCCATCTCCATGTCCCATCTCCCATGGCCGATCCCCTCAGGAGGTGCACTGGCAGCAGCACTCCCAGGGGGGGGGGGTGTCGTCGCCTGGCGCTGCAGCTGCACGGAGCACCGGCTGTCATGGACCTGCCCTTCCCCTTCCTGCACCTCTCTATCATCCAGGTGCGGTGCTGAACGGTGCTGTGCTGTGCGGTGCTGGACCGGCTCAACTCCATAATGCCACTGCTCGTATTGCAATGTGCCTAGCACCCCGCCGTGCTTAATCGCCTCGTCGCCCCAAGGCATGGCCCATGCCTGTCTGCTGCATGCGGGGTGCCGGTCTGCCGCAGGAGGTGCCTGCCGAGTGGATGTGTGTGGGGTGTGTGCCATATGCAAGCTGGGCTGCAGGTGGAGCAAGGCCGGCACACCGTGTGCTCCTTCCTCTCCTCCCACCTTCTGCACACGGGGTGCAGATGCTCCGAAAGGCGCTTAGGCTCCCACGCCTGCCCTCTCCCACCCTCCCACTCTCTCCTCCTCCCACCCTCTCCACCCTCTGCCTGTCATGTGCAATGGGGGGAGGAGGACGAGGAAGAGCGACACACCATGTGCTTTCTTCTCGCCTCCCTCCACGTGCATGCATGGCCCTCTTCTCGCCTCCCTCCACGTGCATGCATGGCCCTCTTCTCGCCTCCCTCCACGTGCATGCATGGCCCTCTTCTCGCCTCCCTCCACGTGCATGCATGGCCCTCTTCTCGCCTCCCTCCACGTGCATGCATGGCCCTCTTCTCGCCTCCCTCCACGTGCATGCATGGCCCTCTTCTCGCCTCCCTCCACGTGCATGCATGGCCCTGTTCTCTATGCTGCCCTCTGTGGTCCGTGAGGCGCCCATTCATTCCCCCCCTCCTAGTCTCCCATTCTCTCTTTTTCCCATCCGCTTCACCCTCTTCCACCCTCCCACTTTTTTCCCCTGTCTCCCACTGTTCACATCGCAGCCCAACCGCGTAGTTTTTCGTTACCCCTCCATTCATTACCTGAACATGTCCATTGCTCTCTAAACACATTCCCCCACCCAAGTCATACTCGTTTTTCAGGCCAAACGTTCGTTTCCGTTATGCTCATCTCCCACGCTGCCCTGGCAGGCTGCTCATCCCTTCCTGAGCTTCAACCCACCACTGCTGAGTGCCGGCCTACGACAAGGGCCGGCTTAACGACAAGGGCCGGCTTAACGACAAGGGCCGGCTTAACGACAAGGGCCGGCCTGACGACAAGGGCCGGCCTGACGACAAGGGCCGGCCTGACGACAAGGGCCGGCCTGACGACAAGGGCCGGCCTGACGACAAGGGCCGGCCTGACGACAAGGGCCGGCCTGACGACAAGGGCCGGCCTGACGACAAGGGCCGGCCTGACGACAAGGGCCGGCCTGACGACAAGGGCCGGCCTGACGACAAGGGCCGGCCTGACGACAAGGGCCGGCCTGACGACAAGGGCCGGCCTGACGACAAGGGCCGGCCTGACGACAAGGGCCGGCCTGACGACAAGGGCCGGCCTGACGACAAGGGCCGGCCTGACGACAAGGGCCGGCCTGACGACAAGGGCCGGCCTGACGACAAGGGCCGGCCTGACGACAAGGGCCGGCCTGACGACAAGGGCCGGCCTGACGACAAGGGCCGGCCTGACGACAAGGGCCGGCCTGACGACAAGGGCCGGCCTGCTCCACGCCCACTCAGCAGCCCATGAGCCCACCCACCCTGCCACTAGTGCGCCACCTCCACCCTCGCCCTCTCATCCTCCACGCATTCACCCCACACTGCGCCCTTCCCTCCCGCATCTGCGCTTCTCTTCGCTCGCCTGGCGCCACTACTACCTCTGGTTGCGAGGTATGGGCGTGAGGTACGGGTGTGAGGTAAGGGAGTGAGGTATGGGGATGAGGCACGGCATGGTCTGGTCTGGTGTGTAGGATAAATCTTTTGGAACCCTCATTGCCTCTCTTTAACCATGACAAACACGACAACGAGGCATTCATTCACCATCTCCGCCATACCCCCCATCCCATCATACTCCCCACCCCATCACACTCCCTATCCCATCATACTCCCCACCCCACCACACTCCCTATCCCATCATACTCCCCACCCCACCACACTCCCTATCCCATCATACTTCCCACCCCACCACACTCCCTATCCCATCATACTCCCCACCCCACCACACTCCCTATCCCATCATACTCCCCACCCCACCGCACTCCCTATCCCATCATACTCCCCACCCCACCACACTCCCTATCCCATCATACTCCCCACCCCACCGCACTCCCTTTTCCATCATACTCCCCACCCCACCACACTTCCCCACTCCCACCAGCCGTGCACTACCCTCTTTGCTCTCCACCTGCTCACACCCCTTGCGATTCAACTCAATTATCCCCTTCTCACCCATCTGCCCCGTTGCCCCCCAGTCTCCATCCTGCTCGCCCTCCACCTTTGAAGCGCCTCAAAAGTCGTCTTTTATCCCGCAATTTTTAGGCGCCTCAAAAGACTGCTCGCCCTCCCCTCCAGCCCTCCTCGTCACCACCTCTTGCCTTCCCTAGCACCATACAAGCCCCACCGCACACGCATTCACCTCACCAACTCGACTATACTCCTTGCGCCCCAATCTCCCCCTTGGCCCCCCTCCCTCCCTTCCTCCAGCCGCTCCTCCTCGCATTCCACTTGCTCCTCCAGCCCTTGAAATTCAACTCAAAATTCGCCCTCTTACCCATCTGCCCCCCATTCCCCACCCCCTCCACTACGAGCCCCTCACCTGCCCCTCCACCCCTCCTCGCCACCTCCTCTTGCCTTCCCTGCCACCACTAAAGCCTCAACGCACACGAATTCACCTCATCAACACAACTATATCCTTTTTTAGAACCCCCAATTTCCAGCTGCTCACCATCCTCCTGCCCTCCATCGGCAACTCCAGTTTTCAATTCAACTCAAAAGTCACTCTCTTACCCATCTGCCCCCTTCCCCACAAACCCCCCTCCCCCCCCTTCACCCGCCAGCCTCTCACCATCCTCTTCACCCTCCACCTGCTCCTCCGCCCCACCTTGCCGCCTCCACCTCCGCTCCCTGTCACCACTCTTGCCCCGGGCCCGGGGAGGGAGCAGAGGGAGGGGCAAGAGGGTAAGGAAGGACATGAGGAACAGGAGCAGAGTACACGTGCAGAGGGGCAGCGGCAGCATCAATGTCAGGGGTGTGGGCTGACCACTCACTCGCAACTCCCTCTCTATCCACGTGCTTGGTGCGCATGCGTGTGCTTGGTGGGCATGCATGGTTGCGCCCATCACCCCCCCCCCCCCCCCCCCCCCCCCCTCTTCCTCTGTTTCTAAGCCTCATAAGCCCAACAATCATCTTGCTTACTTCCCATCCGCCCCACTTCCTTCCACGTCCCCACTAGACTCTGTGTGCTGCCGGCTGTGTCATCTCCCCCCTTCCTCCCCCATGTTCATTTGTGCCATCCACCCCTTGCCTCTCAAGAGCTGCTTGGGGATTAGGGGAGCGGAATGGGGTCAGACGATTGAGGAAAGGGTGTTGAATAGGATGGGAGCCCCAAGCTTGCAGGAAAGGTGGATGATTATGACCCTCGCAGAGGAGAGCCAATATGGCATGTAAGGCACATGAGGCATTGAAGGAGATCCAACAAAAAACTTAAACGAATCAAAAGCTTCGCCCGGACTTGAACTGGAGGCCTTCAGCGTGTTAGACTGACGTGATAACCAACTACACCACGAAACCGATGTTTGATGATCTAACAAAACAATACGACGAGCTACACTACAGCACTGCCTCCCACACCCATTGCACTCCCCGCGCTGGCGTGCCTCTCACCACGCACTTCCTCTCACCACGCACTTCCTCTCACCACGCACTTCCTCTACAAAATTCGCGAGGCCACATCCCATGCCCGAATCTGGGTGTTCCCCAACTATGCGCACTCACCCTTGCACGAGCAATGAATTAGTTCACTTGAAACAGTGTTTAGGAGGGGAAACAGTGGCGTCTGTCAGATTTATATGACAGAGCTACTGTAGGCTATAGTGGGGTAGCACATATGGGGTACAGTTTTCTAGGGTTTGCATTTTGTACCCAACTTTCCCTTAGTCATTCCATTCCTCGTTTCTTTTCATGGTATCGAGCAGGTTCCCTAGTGGGAACGATTCCTAGGGCCCACCACCACGAAAATTTTTTTTCCTGCCCGGAGCGCGCTTCGCTCAGGCCCGAGTCGCGCCCTGTGTGCTCCCCCTACCGTCGCGCCCTCGCTAGGCCCCTCACGGCCCCGTCGCGTCGCCCTTAGCGGCCCCCCTCACGGCTCGTCGCGCCGCCCACCTACGGCCCTTCGCGCCGCCCTTACGGCCCTTCGTGCCGCCCTTACGGCCCGTCGCGCCCGTCGCGCCGCCCTTACGGCCCCTCGTGACGCCCCTTACGGCCCCTCCCGCGGCCCCTCACGGCCCCCTACGGCTCGTTGCCGCCCTTCACGGCCCCGCCACCTACCTGTGCGGCCCCGCCACCTACCTGTGCGGCCCCGCCACCTACCTCTGCGGCCCCGCCACCTACCAGCGGCCCCGCCACCTACCCGCGGCCCCGCCACCTACCTGTGCTGGCCCCGCCACCTACCTGCGGCCCCGCCACCTACCAGCGGCCCCGCCACCTACCTGCGGCCCCGCCACCTACTAGCGGCCCCGCCACCTACCTGCGGCCCCGCCACCTACCAGCGGCCCCGCCACCTACCCGCGGCCCCGCCACCTACCTGTGCTGGCCCCGCCACCTACCTGCGGCCCCGCCACCTACCAGCGGCCCCGCCACCTACCTGCGGCCCCGCCACCTACTAGCGGCCCCGCCACCTACCTGCGGCCCCACCGCCTCCTCTCAGCGGCCTCGCCGCCTCCTCCCAGCGGCCCCGGAAGCCGCCCTCTCAGCGGCCCCGCCGCGCCGCCAAGCAGCCGAGCCGCCCAGCCGCCGAGCCGCCCAGCAGCCGAGCCGCCCAGAAGCCGAGCCGCCGAGCCGCCGAGCAGCCGAGCCGCCGAGCCGCCCAGCAGCAGAGCCGCCGAGCCGCCCAGCAGCCGAGCCGCCGAGCCGCCCTGCAGCCGAGCCACCCGAGCCGCCCTGTCCGGTAAGAGCAGCGCCTTTTTCACAGCACTGCCCTCACCCTACTGTTTGCGCTGCTAGTCTACTGCTGTCATGGCTACCCCTAGTGTCCTCACTTTTGACGCTGAGGGTCGGGCCATTGACTTTGACGTCTGGATAGATGACCTGCAGCTTTTCTTACAGTGCGACAGAGCAGACGGCCTCTCCCTCTTTGACCTCACTTCTGGTGCCTCCCCTGCCCCCGCTGCTGATGCTGACGCCACTGTTCGCTCACAGTGGGCCACGCGCGATGCTGCTGCACGTCTTGCTGTGCGTCGCCACCTGCCTACCTCTGAGCGTGCGCACTTTAGCCAGTACAAGAGTGCTCACACCTTGTACGACGCTGTAGTTGCGCGCTACTCCTCCCCTGCCACTGCTGCACTGAGCCGCCTCATGCTACCGTACCTCTTCCCTGACCTTGCTGCCTTTCCCACAGTCGCTGACCTCATTACGCACCTCCGCACTAGTGACACTCGCTACCGCGCTGCGCTTCCTGCTGAGTTCTGCGCCAAGAACCCCCCCCCCATGTACATCACCCTCTACTACATAGTCACCCGGTTCCCTGACTCCCTTCGCGTAGTCAGGGACCACTTCCTCTCAGTTTGCCCCACCACTCTCACCGTTGACCTCCTCGAGAAGTCCCTCCTAGCAGCAGAGAAGAGCATAGTCGCTGTAGGAGCCTCTCGTGGTGACCCTCGCACCCCCATCTTTGAGGGGTGTTCCCCCTCCCCCCTTTTGCCCTCTGTTGCCTCTGCTGCTGCGGCCGACCTCGTTGGGCTTGAGTCGGTCGGTGCGGCGTCTACCCCTAGCGGGAGACGCCGCCCTGGCAAGGGCAAGGGGGGCAGGGGCACTGGAGGAGCTAGCGAGGGCGGTGGACGCGGCGGTGGAGGCAGTGGAGGGGGTGGGGGTGGCGGTGGGGGTGGTGGTGGGGGTGGAGGTGTCGGTGGCGGCGGTGGAGGCGGAGGCGGCGGCGGCGGTGGCGGTGGGAGCGGAGGTAGCGGCGGTGGAGGAGGCGGCGGCGGAGGAGGTGGAGCTGGTCGGGGTGGCGCTGCGCAGAGGGTCGGCTCCGGTGGTGGTCAGCGCCAGCAGCAGCAGCAGCAGCAGCGCACTCGTGACATCCCCCCCCCTCAGCAGCTCCGTGAGTGGTACGCTGCACGCCAGCGGGGTGGGGGTACTGGTCCGTGCACCTACGTCCTCCGCACCGGCGACCGCGCGGGTGACCAGTGCGGGGGTGCGCACTCCACCGAGCGCTGCTTTGGCCGCCTGACGGACGCTTGGCGTCACCAGTTCCCTGAGGCCACTGAGATCCCCCGCTGGGGTGAGCTGTCTAGGGCGGGTGTCGCTGTCTTTGACCTTGACTTTGATGCTATTCTTGCTGCTATGTATACTGTGACTATTAGTGATGAGGGTGACTGTTACCGGTGTTTTTCGCCCAACCCGGGCATTGAGACTGCTGCTCTAGGTACTGGTGAGGCTGCTGCTCTAGGTGCTAGCGAGGCTGCTGCTCTAGGTGCGTCTGCTCCCTCAGGTGCTGGTGAGTCTGCTCTCTCAGGTTCTGCGTCGGCTTCGGCC